TCTCTTTCCACTTCCTCTCTAGTGTCCATTACAATATTTAATACTTTTATGTTCTCCAGTCTTTCAGTCTCTACCATAGATTATAGACAGTCGGTATATGTGAAGTGGAGACATACAATGTCTCTCTTTCATAGCCTGACTTGCTTCACTCAGCAACAAATCTTCCATATTTTAACATATTCTATCAAATCCCAGGGCCTTGTTGTATTTCTTTTTATGACTGAATAGTATTCCATGGAGTATATGTGCCACACATTTTCAATCCAATCACTTGTTTATGGACATTTGGGTTGGTTCCATGTTTTAGCAATCTTGAATAATGCTGCAATGAAAATAGTTGTGCAAGTGCTTTTCTGACTGAGTGTTCTCCTGTCCTTTGGGTATATACTCAGGAGTGGAATTGCTGGATCACATGGTAGTTCTATTTGAAGGTCTTTTAGGAAGGTCTTCTCCACAGTGACTGGACTAATTTACATTCCTACTCAGAGTGCAGGAGTGTTTAGACAATAGTGAGGAATTTGTATCTATTAGAGTAATCATCAATATATTGGTAATATGTTATCTCAGATCATTTTTAGATTGAGACAAGGTATAAACAACTATAATAGTAATGATAACTTACACGTCTAAAGTATTTTACACTATATAGAACACTTTTTTTTGAGAGGTTTTCGTTATAGGGTGCGTGCGCTCACCAGACAGACAGAGAGACAGAGAGACAGAGAGACAGAAAGTGAGAAATCACCCCCCAGGGGGGATGGTCACACTGCAATCCCTTCTCCTCCATTCTCCTCTCGGAATCTTGGGCACGCACGCACACGCGCCCAGCATGAGTTTTAAGCCACTGGGTCTGGGACACGAACCATGGTCGACTATGTGGGAGTCCAGCAACATAGCCATTACGCTAACTGCTGGTTCCCTATACAGAACACTTTTTATATCTACCTATCTTGGTACTCTTTGTGGGTGAAACAGGCTGGCATTATTTTTACTGCTTTTTTTTTTTTTAAGAAGAAGAAGAAGTTTTTGCTATACGCACTCGCCAGAAAGACAGAGAGAGACATAGAGACAGAAAGTGAGAAAACATCCCACCCCCAGGGGGATGGCCACTCTGCAATCCCTTCTCCTCCATTCTCCTCTCGGGATCTTGGCCACACACACACATGCACCTGGTGTGAGTTTAAGTTACTGTGTCTGGGACTCTAATCATTGTCAACTACATGGGAGTCCAGTGACATAGCCATTAATACAACTGCTGGTCCCTTTTACTGCTATTTTAAAAGAGAAAATGTAAACTGATTTTTAGAGAGGTTAAGTGACATTTATACATTCAGTACCAGAACTAAAACTCAATTATCATTACAGTTTTAACTTGCATGTATCTGTAGTGTTTATGACTTTTGGAAAGAGTCTCGCTATGAAGCAATACTCTTGCCTCAGTCTCTAGAGTAGCTAGGAGCACAGGTAAATTTCACCATACCCTACTCTTTCAACAGTGTAACCCTATGTTGTCCATGTTGGCCAGAAACTTACAAACTTCTTCTTCCATGTCTTGATCAGTTGGAACTACAGGTGCATGACACAATGTCCTTTCTTTAGGGTGGACCTGCCACGTGGCCTCAGCCTGTCGAACTGTAGGATCCACTGGACAATACCACAGAGATATATAATCTTCTTTATATGTTGTTGAATATGATTTGCTAGTATCTTATTGACAATTTTTGCATCTATATTCTTCAGAGATATTGGTCTATAGTATTCCTTCCTTGTCCTGTCCTTGTCAGTTTTAAGGATAAGGATGATGCAGGATTCATAGAATGAATTTGTGAGAATTTTACCCTTTTGGACCTTTAGAAATAATTTGAGCAGAATGGAGGTTAACTCTCCTTTAAAGGTTTTGTGGAATTCAGAGGTAAAGCCATCAGGACCAGGGTTTTTTTTTTTGTTTTTTGTTTTGTTTTGTTTTGTTTTGTTTTTTGGTTATTTATTACTGATTCAATCTCAATCTCCTGGATTGTTAGGGACTCTTCAGAGTATCTACATCCTCTCCTCCTGATTCAATCTCAGTACAATTACATGTGACCAGGAATTTGTCCATCTCATCCAGATTTTCTTGTTTGTTCATAGTATCCTCTAGTAGTGTTTTGCATTTCTATTATGTCTGTTATTATATTGTCTGCTTCATTGCAACTTTGATTTACCTGGTTCCTTTCCTTCTTCATAATTAGTATGCCTAATGAAGTATTGATTTTGTTTATCTTTTCAAAGAAAACAGCTTTTACTTTCATTTATTTTCTATATAGTTTGTTCATTTTCAATTTCATTTACTTCTGCTTAGATATTTATTATTTCTTCTCTCCTGGAGTATTTTGGATTTCTTTGTTGTTGCTTCTCCAGTTCTTTGAGGTATTATGTTAGGTGGTCCATTTGCCTTCTTACCATCTTCTTATGTCCAGTAATTGCTATAAACTTCCCTGTTATGACTACTTTTACAGTCTCCAAAGATTATGGAAGCTCATGTCCTTATTGTCATTGGCTTCCATGAATCTGTTTATTTCAGGCTTGATTTCTTCAGTAATTGTGAAGTCATTGAGAACTAGGCTATTTAGTTTTTATGTATTTGTGTATTATTGATAATTTCTCTTGAAATTAATATCAAGTTTAATTCCATCATGATCGGAGAAGATGCTGGATATAATATCTATGCCTTTGAATCTGTAAAAGCTGCTTTGTGCCCATTCATGTGGTTAGTCTTTGAAAACGTTCCATGCAGGGCTGAGATGAAAGTTTATCTCGTGGTTTTGGGGTGGAAGGAGCTATTGATTTCTGTTAAGTCCATTTGTTTTATGATATCAGTTATATCCTTTATCTCTTTATTTATTTTTTGTCTAGATGATCTGTCCAAGGGAGATAGTGGGGTATTGAGGTCTCCAACAATTAGTATGTTGTAGGAGGTCTCCAACAATTAGTATGTTGTAGTGTATCTCTACCTTTAGATCTAATAGTCTGTCTTCATGTATTTGGGTGCTCCTGAGTTAGGTCCATAGATATTTATAAGCATTATATCTTCTCGATGAATTAGCCCTTTTACTACTATATAGTACCTTTCTTTGTATCTTCAACCCTTTTTTGTTTTAAAGACTTTTTGTCAGAAATTAGTATTGTGACTTTTTTCTCATGTGAAGGATAATTTTGCTGGATATGGTAATCTTGGCTGAAATTGTTTCTCTCTTAACACTTTCATTATGTCTTCCCATTCTTTCCTTGCTTGTATTCTTTCAGTTGAAAGGTCCAGTGTTAGCCTGATGGGGTGCCTTTTGTAAGTCGCTTGATGTTTCTCTCTTGCCAATTTTATAATCTTGTTTTTAACAGTGGTTTTGGCCAGTCTGGCTGAGACGTGCTTTGGGGAAGATCTTGGGTTCATTCTATTTGGGGTCCTTTGTATTTCTTGCATCTGAATGTGTGTTTGTGTCTGTAATTGGAAAGTTTTCTTCTAGGATTTCAATAAATATATTTTCCATGCCCTTTTATTTTCTTCACCTTCAGGGATACAAATTATTGGGATGTTTGGGCATTTTAATACTTTCAAGAGACTTTTTGATTTTCTGCATTATGGACTTTATCTCTGATAATTCAATCTGATTCTTCCTTATAGTGTCTATTTCTTCTTTCAAAACGTGGAAGGACTTCCTCATCTCGTGGAGTTTCTTGTCTCATTTTTGTTCCAACTCATAGAGTTTTGTCACTTTGAATGTTCTGAATTCTTTGCCTGACATTTGGGTAACTTCTTTTTTTTTCAGAAGATGAAGATTTATTGTATTAATTTTTTTTTTTGATGGAGACATATTTCCTGATTTCTTCATTCAATCTAGCCACTGGGTGATGTATTCACTTTTGGATACCTTTTTGGAGAATATTTCTGCCACTGGGAACATATTTGCTTCCCTTTTGATGCAGATAGATGGGTACCAAAGTCTCACTTCTGCTGTGTTTAGCAATGTGGTCCTAACAAGAGGAATCGTCTATTCAGATGTCTGAAGGAAAGCCTCTCCTTTTTCACAGGTGGATCAGTAAAAGGGAGGGTCTCAGGTAGTCCCACAATATGGGGGTATTAGAAATCTATGATTCTAGCGACCAGTAGTTAGAGTAATGGCTATGTTGCTGGACTCCCATGTAGTCAACCATGGTCATGTTTCAGACCTGGTGGCTTAAACTCATGTTGGGCGTGTGTGTGTGCATGCCCCAAATCCCAAGAGTAATGGAAGAGAAGGGACTATGGCATGGCCATCCCCCTGTGTGGGGGGGGTGATTTCTTGTTTTCTGTCTTTCTGTCTCTGTCTGTCTTTCTGGAGAGCACACCATACTATAGCAAAACCCTCTCAAAAAAATAAGTAGAAATCTATAAATCTATGACTCTAGACCTGTATAGTCCCTTTGGATGTGTGAAGGGTGAGAAGAAGATGACAATAGAAGAGGGAAGAAAAAAAAAGTATGAAAGAGAAAAAAGAAAAAAGTCACATGCACACAAAGCGTGATTTTGCTAGGGGGCATCAGATTAAACTGAACTCTGCTGGAGAGCGGAGGGATGTCCTAAGAAGTGAGAAGTAGGAAATTAACCAAAGAAAGAAGACAAGAACAGAAAAACAACAGAAGACCTTTCTAACTGGGAGAGCTATAAGGTTGGAAGAGCTGGACTGGTGCTGGAGCAGTTTCCCTGTCTGAAAAATCACATTTTGTATACTATAATGATGTACAATGAATGAATGTAATAAATACATTTAAAATAGGATAATAAAGTTAGAAAAGAAAATGGGCATATGTGCACATGTGTAATAAGGTGTTTGCTGTAAAATTTAGAGAAAAAGTGAAAGTAAGTTTACTTACTGTTGGTAAGATGGCAAGGACAATATTATGCAAAATGTACCTATTTAAATGATTATATAAATTTTTTAAAAGCATTTAGAATATCCTGTTAATAAAAAGATTGATTTTCCTTTTTGTGCAAATAGCAGGCCCGCAAGCATGGTGAACGTCCCAAAAACCCGCCAGACCTTCTGTAAGAAGTGTGGCAAACATCAACCTCATAAAGTGACACAATACAAAAAGGGGAAGGATTCTCTGTATGCTCAGGGAAAGTGGCTCTATGACAGGAAGCAGAGTGGCTATGGTGGACAGACTAAGCCTATTTTCTGGAAAGAGGCAAAAACTACAAAGAAGATTGTGCTGAGGCTTGAATGTGTTGAGCCCAACTGCAGATCTAGGAGAATGCTGGCTATGAAGAGATGTAAGCATTTTGAACTGGGAGGAGATAAGAAGAGAAAGGGTCATGTGATCCAGTTCTAAGCCTCATCTTTTCTATTACGAAGATGACAAAATCCTGAGGTGAAGGTTCACCTCATTTGATTACAGTTGGTCTGTTTGTAAGGGAATAAATTAATCCGTAAAATTCCCCTTTGGGGGAAATTTGATTCATGGTAAAAAAAAAACAAACCTTGCTTTAAAAAATTAAGCATTTATTTTATTGCTTTTTTTTTTAAATCTTACCACACTCTGATGATATAGTCAATACCATAATGAACTACCATGATGCAAGCCACATGTCTGATCAGGCATTTGTATTCCTGAGTCTATCTGTGCCCATCTCCAAAATATAACACTCATAGGGACTAGCAGTTAGCATAATGGCTATGTCGCTGGACTCCCATGTAGTCGACCGCAGTTCACGTCCTGGACCCAGTGGCTTAAAACTCATGCCGGGCACGTGTGCATACGTGCCCAAGATCTCTAGAGGAGAATGGAGGAGAAGGAATTGTGGCATGGCCATCCCCCCTGGGGAGTGATTTTTCGCTTTCTGTCTCTCTGTCTTTCTCTCTGTCTGGCGAGCGCACATACCCTATAGCAAAATATAACACTCATATCTCAAAATGGGACTGTTTTTGGAGAAATTTTTCCTTTTCTTATTCATTTATTTGTTTATTTATTTTCACATTCAATTACTGTGTACCATTACAGCATACCAAATACATTTTCCCATCATGAATACATTGTATATAGGTTTAATCAAACATATTACCATATATATTATCATCAACAGATATGTTTTCATTTTTGTGTCTTGTAAATATATTTTCTTTCTCTTTTCCCTGAATTTCCTCCCTCTCAACTTCTTCCCTTTCCCATCCTCCTCCCACACTCTCTTCAGTATACAGTGCTGCACTCAATGCCTTTTTATCTTTCAATCTTTCAGTTTCTTCTGCAGAATGAAGACATTCAGTATATATTGAGTAGAGGCATACATAGTCTGGCTTGTTTCACTTAGCAGTAAATCTTTCATATTTGTCCACTTTCTGTGGAATGCTAGGGTTTCATTTAGCCTTTTTTTTTCTTTTCGTTTTTTTAATGGCTGAGCTGTATTCTATAGTATATAAGAACCTCAATTCATTCCTATGTTCACGAATATTTGTGTTGGCTTCATGTCTTAGCAAGTGTGAATGATGCTGCAATAAACATGGATGTGCAAGTGGTTTTTCCAACTGAGGATGTTTCTATCTTTTGGTAGATACCCAGGAGTGAAATTTCTGGATCATATGATTATTCTATTTGTAGGGCTTGGAGGAACCTCCATATTGTTCTCCACAGTGGTTGCACTAATTTATATCCACATCAAAAGTATAGGGGAATTTGGAAACCAGCAGTTAGCGTGATGGCTATGTCGCTGGACTCCCACGTAGTCGACCGCAGTTTGCGTCCCGGACCCGGTGGTTTAAAACTCACGTCGGGTGCGTGTGCGTGTGTGGCCAAGATCCCGAGAGGAGAATGTAGGAGAAGGGATTGTGGTGTGACCATCCCCTCTGGGGGATGATTTCTCGCTTTCTGTCTCTATGTCTCTCTCTGTCTGTCTGGCGAGCGCACGTGCCCTATAGCGAAAAATCTCTCAAAAAAAAAAAAAAAAAAAGGATAGGAAAATTTCCATTCCTTATTTTTTTTAATCTTAGTCGTTTTGACTGGGGTTAGGTGATATCTCATTGCAATTTTTATTTGTATTTCCCTTATAATAAGTGATGTTAAGCATTTTTTTCATATGTTTTTGGCCATTCATATGTCTTCCTTATAAAGTTGTCAGTTCAGCTCATTTTCCCATCTTTTAAGTGGATTGATCATTTTTTGGGGTGTTAGGGTAAACTGTTTGAATTCCTTTTATATTCTGGTTATCAGTCCCTTATATGAGGCATAGTTTGAAAATATATTATCCCATTCCAAGGGTTGTCAAATCACTCTAAATATTGCTCTTTTAGTGTGCAGAAGATTTTAAATCTGATGTATTCCCTTTTTCTATGTTGTGCTTTGGGGGTCTTATTTAAGAAGTTTTTGCCTACTCCAGTATCTCCAGTTTCCCCGTGTTTTCCACCTGTAGTTTTGTAGTATGGGGCCTTAGGTTTAGATCTTTAATTGATTTTGAGCTGATTTTTCTTAAATCTGAGATCTAGGGGTCCAGTTTCATCTTTCTGCAGGTAGTTACCCAGTGTATCCAGCAAAATTTACCAAAGTAGTTTCCTTTTCCACACTAGATTGACACTTTCCCTTTGTCAAAATCTCTTAATTGTGTGTGTGTGTGTGTGTGTGTGTGTGTGTGTGTGTGTGTTTTGGGGGGGCAGGATAAGCTGCTTGAGTTTCCTTTATATTGTGTCTATCAGTCTCAGATCTGAGGCATAGTTTGCAAATATATTCTTCCATTTAGAAGGTTGCTGATTCACTCTAATTATTATTTCCTTTTGGTGTGCAGAAACTTCTTAACCTGATATAACCTCACTTGTCTTTTTGGGGGAGATTACTGCCTGTGTTTTGGGGATCTTATTTAAGAAGTCTTTGCCTAATCCCAATGTCTCCAAGAGTTTCCCCTGTGTTTTCATCCAGTAGTTTTATATTTTGTGGTCATAGATGTAGATCTTTGATCTATTTTGAGTTGGCTTTTGTTAGTGGTAAGAGACAGTGGTACACTTTCATCTTTCTTCAGAATAATAGGCATTTTTCCAGTATCATTTGCTAAAGAGATTTTCTTTTCCCACTGGATTGCCTAGTGCCCCTTGTAAAAAATCTGTTGATGTTATGTTTTAGGATTTATGTCAGGAGTCTCTTATCTGTTCCATTGGTCTACATGCCTGGATTTCTGCCTATACCATGCTGTTTTGATTATCAAACATTCATTTTCTTCAGAATAATAGGCATTTTTCCAGTATCATTTGCTAAAGAGATTTTCTTTTCCCACTGGATTGCCTAGTGCCCCTTGTAAAAAATCTGTTGATGTTATGTTTTAGGATTTATGTCAGGAGTCTCTTATCTGTTCCATTGGTCTACATGCCTGGATTTCTGCCTATACCATGCTGTTTTGAGTATCAAACATTCATAATATATTTTGGGGTCAAGGAATGAGATACCTCCTACTTCATTCTTTGTGGACTGTATTGTTTTGGTAGTATGTGTTCTTCAATGATTCCAGACAAATTTTATGATTTTTTTTCTAAAACTGTGCAAAATTTCTCTGATAATTTAATGGAATTGCATTAAATATGAGATTAATTTTGGTTTAATTAGTATTTTGATTATATTAATTCTTCCAATCTTAAAACATGGATGTCTTTACACTTTTTTGTGTTACTTTCAATTTATTTTCTAAATTTTTCAGTTTTTCTTGTAGGGTATCTTTGACTTGTTTTTGAGATTTATGCCTATATATTTTATACTTTTTCTGGCTAGTATAAATGGAATTACTTTCTTCAATTTTACCTCATTTTGCTCATTGTTTTTATAAAGAATTGATACAGATTTTTGTAGGTTGATTTTGTATTCTGCCACTTTACTGTATATATTTATCACTTTCAGCATTTTTTGGTGGATTTGTGTGTGTGTGTGTTTTCCGTGTATATAATCATGTCATCTGCAAATAGAGATAATCTCACTTCTTCTTCTATTTGAATGCCTTTTATTTTATTATCTTGTCCAATTGCACTGGCAAGGACTTCTAGTACTACAATGAAGAGGCATGGAGAAGTGGGAGCCTTGTCTTCTGCTTGTTTTAGTGAAAAAGCTTTTAGCTTTTCCCAATTCAGTATGATGTTAAGTGTGAATATTTCATATATAACTTTTATTGTGTTGAGAAATGTATCTTTTATGCCAATTTTTCTGCAAGCCTTAATTATGAATTGATGCTGTATTTTGTCAAATGCTTTTATTGTGTTGGTTGATATGCTTGTATCTTTCTTTCCTGCTATATGGTATATTGCAGTTAAGGTTTTGTATATGTTCAACTATTCTTGAATCTCTGGAAGAAAGCCTACCTGGTTGTAATGTATAATCTTTTTTTTTTTTAATTTGTCATTGTATATAATTTGCTAGTATCGTCCTGAGAGTTTTTCATCTATATTGGATAAAATATAGACCAGAGATACTGCTCTATATTTTTCTCTTTTTTTCTGTTATGTTTTTGCCTATTTGGTGGATGACGGTGATGGAAACTTTATAAAGTAAATTTGGGAGGGTTCCTTCCTTTTGGATTTTTAGATATAGTTTGAATAGAATAGGAGTTATCTTTTCTTTAATTTTTGTATAATACAGAAATGAAATCCATGTAAATTGGACTTATATTTGTTGGAAAATTATTTATTTTGGATTCAATCTCATTGTTTGTTATAAATGTATTCAGGCTTTCTATGTCTTTCTGATTAAGTCTTGGTAGAATATATGTGTTCAGGAATTTGTCCAACTCATCCAAGTTTTCTTGTTTGTTAATGTATAGTAAATCAATATTATCTATTGTTCTTTTTTATTTCTATTATGTCTATTGTAATGCCTGTTTCATTGCTGGTTTGATTTATCTGGTTTATTTTTTCTTTTTAATAAGTCTGGCTAATTGTATGTCATTTTTGTTTTTTATCTTCTCAAAGAACCTGCTTTTGGTTTCATTTATTTTCTACACAGTTTATTCTTTTATTTCATTCATTTCTGCTTGAATCTATACTTCGTTTCTTCTGACCTTTTGTTGTTGTTTTTCCAGATTCCTGAGTTGTATTGTTAGGTTGTCTATTTTCCACCTTTTCATCTTTTTTTTTTATACACACTAATTGCTATGACTGTCCCTCATATGTCTGCATTTGTTGTGTCCCATAGGTTATGGAAACTTGTGTACTCATTATAATTGGTTTCAGTGAATTTTGATTTTTGTATTAATTTCTTCAGAGGTTGTGAAGTCATTCAGGAGTAGATTGTTTAATTTTTATATGTTTCTGAATTTTTGAGGTGTCTTTCTGAAGTTAATATCAATAGCTTCATTCCATCAAGGTTGTATAAGATGCTGGATATATTTTCTATTTCTTTTCATTCATAAAGGCTTATTTTGTTCACTATTATGTGGTCAATCTTCAAAAAGATCTGATACAGGGCTGAGAAAAGCATATGTTTTGTG